TCGATGGGCAGAACACTTTATGGATCAGTTCAACTGGCCTTCAGCCACACTTCGGTTTCCCACGATCTCCAGTCAACCTGAATGGCAAGTTAATGTAGGTCCTCCGTCCCTTTACGAAGTTGAAAAAGCCATAGGAAATCTGAAACGAGGGAGAGCAGCAGGCCCTGACAGGTTTACTCCTGAGATTTTTAAGGATGGTGGTCCAGTATTAGCAATGAGATTAACCGAGGTCTTAGGTAGAATTTGGGAACTGGACGTAATCCCATCTGACTGGTCTCAATCACTGATTGTGCCAGTTTTTAAGAAAGGACAAAAGTCCTCTTGTGACAATCACAGAGGAATCAGTTTGACTAATATAGTGTCTAAAATATTAGCTTCAATAATACTTCGACGCCTAACTAAAGCTCGTGAAGAGCAGACTAGAGAAAACCAGGCTGGTTTTCGACCTGGACGTGGTTGTATAGATCAGATATTCACACTACGTCAGGTTCTAGAACACAGACACACATTCAGACGCCCCACAATGGTAGTATTTCTCGACCTTAAGGCGGCATTCGACTCTATTGATCGTGAGGTTCTATGGCAGTGTTTGTCACTGAAAGGAGTACCAAAGAAGTACATTAACCTTATAAAGGCTCTCTACTCGAACACAACTGGTAGAGTGAGAGCTTATGGCGAACTGTCATCAGAATTGATCACCTCAAGTGGTGTTCGTCAGGGCTGTCCACTCTCCCCATTCTTGTTCAACTTTGTGGTCGACGTACTTTTAGAGATAACACTCTCCTCATCTAAATTTACAGGGGTTGAACTTCTACCAGGAGGTTCACTTGTTGACTTAGAATATGCTGATGACATAGTTTTATTTGGTGAAGACGCTGACCAAATGCAGAGTCTTCTGACCACTCTAAGCAACAATGCAAGCATGTTCGGGATGCGATTCTCTCCCTCGAAATGCAAAATGTTGCTTCAGGATTGGGTTACATCGACACCCGAACTAGTGATAGGGAGTGAAGTAGTTGAGTGTGTCGACCGCTTCACTTATCTTGGAAGTCTCATCAGCCCTTGTGGTTTAGTGTGTGACGAAATCTCAGCACGGATACAGAAGGCTCGACTAGCTTTTGCCAACTTGCGTCATTTATGGCGTAGGCGAGATATCCGTCTATCAACCAAAGGACGTGTTTACTGCGCAGCAGTTCGTTCCGTCCTACTTTATGGCAGTGAAACATGGCCGGTAAGAGTAGAGGATATCCGTAGGCTACTAGTATTTGATCATAGGTGTCTTCGAAACATTGCTCGTATATCATGGGACCATCGAGTAAGTAACACAGTTGTTAGGAAACGGGTACTAGGTAAGGATGGCAAATCAATTGATGAAGTAGTGAAACTTCATCAGTTGAGATGGCTGGGACACGTGTTACGTATGCCCAACGACCGACTGCCTCGACGTGCTATGTTCAGTGGTATAGGAGTAGGTTGGAAGAAAGCTAGGGGCGGCCAAACCAAAACATGGCACAAATCCATGAAGTCACTGACAAGTGAACTGAGTCATGTTGATAGGTGTAGACTACCTGGTTGGGGACCGCGAGATGACAGCAACCGATGGTTAGAGACCCTGAATGACATGGCTCAAAATCGTTTGCAATGGCGCAGGTGCATCCACTCTCTGTGTTCTCCCAAATTCTAATCTTCTGAATTCTTCATGTCCCTTTTTTTTCCTCTTTCCAAATTTCTTTCACTGGATTATACTCTTTAAATAACATCTCCAAACCCTAATCTTCCCGATTACGGGATTTGAATCGACCACTGCATCTCTGTGCTAATGTGGTGTGGCAACTCGAACTGATGTACGTACGTACGAAGTTCTACGTTGTTACTGACTGACTGACAAGTATTTATAAACAGTTGTCTACGTGAGATACTCAATATCCGTTGGTCGGATATCGTCAGCAACAGCCTACTGTGGGAGAGAACAAACCAGCCTCCATCTGAAGAGGAAATGAGGGAGAGACTCTGGGAGTAGATAGGACATACATTGTGGAAATCACGAATCACCAAACAGTCAAATATCATTCTTAAATTTATATAAGTATGTCTAAAACTGGACGATTTTACTGGGATTAAGATAGCAAGGATAGCAACTGTTAACCATACGCTGTAATTATACGAATTCGAAACGTATTGAATCGTGCAAAATTCGGACACGTGTAACTGAGGGCTGAGCGTCAGACAGGATGAAATTAATCGTCCTTTTAGTGACTGACTGGTACTTGGCGTCAACGATTTGACTAATAAAATACTGTTTTGGATAATTATCTCATTATTTTATTTTAACACATAGATATTGGTACAAGGAGGCACCAAATACATATGCGCCACACAAATCTCATTCGATATGTGTGAGGGCTGTGATACTACCCGGGTGCCCAAACCGAAGCAGGTGGTTTTCATAGGGGGCCACACCCCGAGCCTTCGATCTGAAGGTCTGGTCCACAAGGCAGTGGAGCATCGTGAGGAGATGCAGTCCCATGGAAGCCGGTGACCAACAATTGGTTCACACGCCATTTGTTCCCGCAGGATATTGGAGTCCATGTGCACCATTGGTTTGAAATCCGGTTAAAGCGCCGGACATTCGCTTTTCGTCCTCTCATTTTCGTAAACAACACACCCGTTACGAGAAGGCAGTGGGTAGGACTTCCCTGGCAGAGGCTATATACGCGTGGCCATGTGAGAGCATTTCGAGAGGGAGAGCTGACTCTCCCCAGTCTCGGCTGTACCAGGGCATTTGGGGGCTGTTTTTGGATAAAGTTGTGGCTAATTGTTCAAAATTTCTAGTTAATGAATCATTCTCTTGCTTTCTTATGAAATCCGAGGGTAAAACTACTACTATTATATAAAACTACGTCTGTGAATCCTAATACAGTTATCATGTGCAACATTATATATATATCTGAAAAATTCGTTCGTAACTGCTATCTTAACGAGTTAGTTAAACTTGTCTATGGTGAGGACTAAACCGAGATGTATCATCTTTAAGGTTCTACTGAGCAAGATAGATCAGTTGAAGAGAGTCGTAAGACTTAAATGCAGGATGACAATCCCGAACAACGATCGAAGGCTTTAAGTAAAATGGATTAAAATCGGACGCAGTTGCAAAGACAAATTCAGTTTGTCTTCTTTCACAGATCAATTACTTCTGTTTTTCGTTCCTAAACCATACTTTCTATGCTTAATATCTCTTTTATTATAAACAACAACAATTAGTATTATTATCATTATTTGAGTACTTCGACTCTAACGCTGTTTATGTCTAACCAACTGTAAGTTTGAAAGATTAAATCATTTATCAAGTAAAACCTAATTTTATTTTACTTTCAATTTAATATTGATGATAATTATTTTTTATTTAAAGGGAGAATACTTATTTAAGTGTTGTATCTACACTCTAAAACAACAATGGTAATAACCATAATATGAAGTCAAAATCGATTAAGTTTATATATTTGGAAGTATTAGAGTCATACTATATGAAATTGAAGCTAATATATTTCTAATGTATATTAGCAAGACTGAACAAATCAATTAAAAGTTATCGCGTTATATTTACTTCATAGGTCATCTAATCACATAAAAAATAACCATGCTTACTATGAATACTAGCGAATATGTCGGTGGCAACCATTTTGTAAACTTTTAATGATAAAAAATTGTAAGGTGGAGTGGAAACATTTCGATAAGGATGACGATACTACCCAGATACCATAACTCTGAACAGTAATTATTCAGTTTTCTAAATTATACCTTTTAATAATAAAAATGATTAACAATAAATTGTGGCTGAGACATCTAGACACTTGACTCATCAAACAACATTTTAAATTTCACTTCGTCTAGTGAAACTAAGGGAAATAGATATTATGCTCACTCTTAAACATTATACACAATTTACAGCGTTTTATGTGTAACTAGAACTAAGGAGTGATACGATCATATGAATATTTGTGTAAAATAACAGTGTCATCTAAAAGTATCAATAAAATGCTAATAACAATGTATATTTTGCAAACCAGTACATCAACGGTCACGGAATATGTATACATTTATATAAATAAATAATTAGCATTTAGTAAGTAGAGCTTGTATCATATCGAAGTATGTGCGGATGTAGATTAGTCCTGAAATATCATTTTAGGTTCACTAGATACGAACCATTTCAGAAATTATCACGCTTAACCACAAGTCACTTAGAAGACCCAACATTTTTCATCAGTCTTCGTTTAAGAGGATGAATATATCCCTATATTTTAATTTCATTACAGAATCTTTATGCAGGCAAAGATCCCATGGAGGTCAGAGGTCATCAATCGCACATCTTTCAACATGTCTATAATAAAGTTGGGGAGGAAGAATGACAATCTACAACGCAGAAAAACAATGTTTCAGCAGCTACGTCAACGCAGTAGTCAGTTTTGAACAAGGTTATATTAGTTGGGATACTTTTTCCTTGAGATTTTACCATAACATGCAGGTATCATGGAAAGTGGTAAAATGAAAAGTATTATGGTTCATGTCTGAAGGTTAAGTTTTACAAGTGAGTATAGTGAGAAGAAGGTATTTCCTATAGATAACCAGCGGTAGCACTTCATGAAAAAGAAAACGAGAGGTCAGTAATTGTCTACTGAAAACTATTCACTCGAACACAATTCGTTAATTATTGTCTGAAGTGAACTGCTGTAAGAATGGATAACACCAAGTGATAGTTAAATCGACCGGTGTTGAACCAGTAGGTTACTCTATCGATCTTGTTTAAGCCGTAATAATAACGGCGTGCGTTATGCCTGTTCATTTCCTACACTTTTACTTAATTTTGGATTTGAATTCACAAGGTGATGACTGGGATTCAAGTACGTAAATAAATGAGGAATAAACCTCGTTGACAGATGTCAGAGAATAAAATCACAAAATTATTGCCATCACCATTATTACCAAGCCTGTTAACTTACCCATAGAAAGCCAGTACGGAACACGAAAACTGGCGGAAAGGACTTGATTTTTCAAATGGGGAAGAGATTGGGCATCGAATGGAAGAGCACCACACACCATGACGTAAAGAATAACACCTAAACTCTAAAGGTGAATAAAGCAAGAGTTTACAAGTTAGGTTGGATTATGAAAGTATTTTATAGAGAATAATTCCTCATCTCACAAATCGTAAATTTTAGTTAAGAATAATCTGCTGTGATTATGAAATGAATAAATGAAGATAGAACTAAGGAAGAGTAGCTCACACTAACGGAAGAATGAACGATTTGAAGTAACTAGTTACAATAGTCAACGATCAATTAACAAGATGTTATTTATTTTTCGGCCATTCTAGTAATAAACAGCTTATTAACGCTCCATAACTCGAATTATAACAGCACTACAACAGGTAACTTAATAAGAAGAGCAAAGCTATGTATACGTGGTATAAAACTGTAGGTTTACAAATAACAATGTAAGATTGTCACACATCCAGGACGCAAAGACACTAGTCCACACACATAAGAATGTGACTCAAAAGCAAAGTTTAGTACATTATTTCATGTTATTGTCGACCAACATTCTATTGGCAAGTATACAGTCAAAATCGTGTTTATATCATAAGTCGACAAGTAGCTCACCGCGATTCATTACCAAATACATATTTTGTACGTAGCTTCGAGCTAAGTCTTTTGTGTGAGGGCTAATAATATTAACCACCCACATAATCCGACGTAAGTAAAGCAGGATATTGAAACCAATTACTCCAACTATAGAGCCAATGATCTACCTATGTCATCGGATCCTGATCAAATATTGCACCATTTCCAGTTGTTAGTAATTGCCGAAATTCGATAATGTTGTTGCCATTATTAGTATACCTCATATACTGACTAAACTGATGCAAAACTTTGTCACTCGACCTGCTACTTTTATAACTAAATTATGTTCAATCAGTCAGTCATAAGTATTATTATTAATTCATTAGCAGGTATATGGTCGTGTACCTGGCTTCAAGCCACTCAAATTATGGGAGCTAATGACACTACCCGGTTGTCCAAACCTAAGTAGGAGGAGCGGGGTTTGTACCTTACGACTTAGTGGCTGAAAGTCAAACGCATTAGCCACCACTTCATAAGCAATGTAAAACCTGATACCTAAGTGTGTCGGTTCAATTTACAACACTACGTCAGCACAGAAATCGAATTACCAAGATGAATACTAAAGTGGTAGAAATGTCAGTAAAAATTTAAAAACACGGGATAGGAAATATGAATCGAGAAGAATGAATGAGTTTGTATCTACGAACACAGCTTAGTCCGACAGGTAATTACCCCATGGACTGATGCTAAGTTCTGGTTTGGCCCCCACAAGCTTTCTTACGGTCTATTTCTACATCTAACCTTAACATTGTCTACTTGGTGGTTTTGCCATAAAAACGAACCGATGTTCAAATACATTTAGCCTTTTGTTACAAAACCTTAATGATCTTTACAAGACATGCAAACAGTGTGCTTATAATGGACCATCAAACTACAAATGGTTTATGTCCCGGGCGAGACAAAAAAACAATTATTGGGAATCGATATTTCAACAACAAACACAGACAGCTGAGATTGTCGTTTTGTACTAGTTGGTACTATAACATATTTAATATACATCTTTCTCTGAGTGGATATACGAGATATTCAACAAAAAATGAACGCATGACTTTCTAATTCTTCAAAACTGAAAACATAAGGCTCATTGTAACCAATTTTTAATGAAATTAAAGGGGAAGAATGTATTTGTAAAATCTCAGAGAATGAATTTTGAAGTAAATCCAACGTTTTGCCTGGCAATTTGGTCCAAGCTTTTTCAAGGAAATATAATCAAACATCAAAATTATCGAATATAAATAGGTACATGGTTCTCCGGTTTACTGTTTACTGAATACGTCATCCAGTCAACGTTAACAATGTTTAAAGTGGGTATTTACATTAGTGTGTAAGAAACATGTGTGAAAAACGAAAAGTGTTAAGATAACAGATTATGTGTATACGTAAGTGAGGAGAAATTTCATTCGCTGAAATTTTACAAATACATTCTTCCTCTTTAATGTTTCACATTAACTCGACGCCCAAATACTGTGAAACCATTCGATCAAATTTAGACGAAAGTTCTTACTCAATTTTTAATGACCTTATACGACTTGGATATTAATCAGTTCAATCATTTTTGTTTCAGAATGCTTATTTCAGTCAAAATTTAAGTTAAAAAGAACTCGAAATCTACGTCATTTCTCGATTGCTTCCGCACTGGTCACAACAAAACTATTTATTGTTAATTTTACCATTATTATTATACAGTGAAGACTGAACTTTAGATACTTAATTGAATCCTATTTAACTAAAATGCAAACAAAGTACAGATTCATATGATTGAAATAGGATTACGACTTGCTTTTCTTGATCAAAAGGTAATGAGATATTTAAATTACCAAACAATCTACGCACCCGATATAAATCTTAATAGACGAAGAGATAGAGCCTGGCATAACTGTTATTAAATAAGCAACACCTACCCAGATATCTGCTTTGACTCCAATGTATGGTTCGCCTAAAAATATTTCAGGTGCAGCATACGGAGGACTACCACACCACGTAGTTAAAAGGTGATTAGGTGAGTTGAAATGTGTGCCGAAGCTAAAATCTAGAATAAAAATAGTTAAAAATCTGAACGTAAAAAACTAGAATAATTATTTATTGACATACGTAAAAACGGAGTTTAAGTTTATTTGACATTTTGTCCATTGAAATGAAGTTGTAGTGTATATAAGCAAATGATTCGATCCATTAAACTAAACTCAAACTTCGCCCCACATTTAAACTAAACAAAGAAAACATTGAAAAACAATAAAGTGGAGAATACTGTATGCATCATATTTGAAGATTCTCTTTTAATAGCGTAAAATTGTTACTTCTATGAATAATGTTTTGTTCATTGACTTCGATTCTAAAATTTCGTCTAACATTTTCTAAGTTGATTAATACATGTACCTAATAAGTTTAATTTTCCTGTAAAACAATTTTCTGGTCACATATCTAGTGGATACATAGTAACCATTTGTCTGAATTATATTTTACATTTTAATTCTATGTGAATGCATTTATTTGATTTTTTATTAAACTCTAAACATTAATTTTACATTCCAACGAGATCTTACACCAAGTGTCACAGCTTAAAATAAAATGGAATTTCCATTCAAATTAAAATTAATGTAACTTAGTAATTAAATATACATATTCGTACACTGGGCTTTAAAACAGGATTTATGCATGTTTGCTGGGCATTTTGTCTTCAAACGTAGAAACGTTAATTATTTTTTAAGACCAAAGAGGGATTCAGACTCGTAAACAAATGCTAGAAAGCTAATCACTGAAGCCATAGTTTTCCAGTTAATGAAAGAACTTTTATTTTATCATTTTCACGTACTTCTATGATGCATAATTGTGTTGATTGATAAACGCGATTTCGTTTAACGTTTTTCTGTACACAGAAAAACACAAACGCATTAGCAACTTTCAACATATATGGGGGGGGGGCAACATTTTATGGAAACTAGTGTAAAAAGTGGCTTTTAATAACATATCCCATTCTAAGTAACTCAGTTAAATCAATTAGGATATTATTCTATTTGGTGCTATGGCAACTAAATCAATACAAACAATTTGTTTTGAAATACCAAGCGGTTAGTACTTTAAAGCATTTATTGAAAGTGAAAATTCGTTAAAAATTTTCGGCTCGCCTCAATGTTACATAAAGATTTTATTTCAGTTTAAAGTGAATTTCCACCAAGTAAATTGTTTTGATTAGGACACATCTACCGTCTGACGATCCATAGTATTTTTAGCAACAATGGAAACTTCTAAAAGAATGCAAAACTATAAGAGGTTCTTCCCTGACTTCTATTTTGAGCTATCGCTAGTAACGCTTAAACCCAATACGTTGCGAAATTTCCGGAACTCCAACTACAGAGTTGAAGTGGATGCTTGACCTATACAATGACCTTTCATATAACGGGGCCATATCATAAACTGACCAGCTCTCCGATTTCTCGACTAGTCCCAACGTCGGAAAATGATGAACGATGTGGAGGCTACTGAGATGACATCTGTAAAACATATCTGAACCACTGAGGGCGATATAGTATGCCTACTAAGGACCAGTCATCATTAGAATAATGCAATGATGAATTGTTTGACTGATATGTGAATTTACATATGCGAAGAATCCGTATCTCCGAAGTTCGAGATATGTACAGCTTATGATGGCTAACGAGAACAATACCCAAGCTAAGGTTTATATCCAAACCATCCCAAACCACCCAGCATTAAATAATAATCCATATAAAAAGGACCACTTCAGGATTTTATTCGTGCTTATGGCCGAATTTAGGCATCTGAACGGTGAAATACAAGCCATTTTTATGTGCATACTTAACGTATTTACTAGATCTCTATTAACAACATACTGATCTCATTATTATACCAACAACCACCATAGATAGCTCAAACATGAGTTAAAACAAAGATTATAAAAGTTCAATTTTCTTGTGAACTACCGGATGAGTATTAGTCAGATGACAGTGAATGAAAAAAGACCATAATAACAATAATCTTAAAACATAATTTATGGCATATAAATAACTAGTTGAAAATATTCATTAAAGAGATCATGTCCTTTGCGTCGCTATAGCGAAGCAGAAGCACTTAGGGTTGATTGGCTTATCCATTTTTTCTACAATGCTAGTACTTTGTTGATAACAAATTTGGAATGTCTAAAATACGGTTTATCGTTTCTTATTATGAATGCTCATGACTGGTCTATGGTGATTTGATAAAAGTTGCACGACAATCGTTTGTACATTGAAGCTTAATTTATCATCGATCGTGATACCCTATCTGGCCTATCAGGGTGAGAAAGAGAGCAGTTTTAGTGTCATGACTAATGAAATTCATAAACAAAAACCTGTTCATTTTGAGCATCACCGAATCGCCATATCTGTAACTCCGGATCTCAACAGACTGCTACTGTCTAAAAAATATCTCACCACTACCGTTATTCTACATTTTTTGGAGTCGTGTTTATATTCATGCCACTGCATTTAAGTTAGTTCACTTCATAATTACATACCCACAGCTTTTTGTTGGTTATTGTACTTCAGATTTGCACTTTGATCTTCTAAATTTTGAAGTAGATATTATTTTAGGACACAAAAAATACGATCTAAAAATATGAGAATGACGCACTGTGAGGATGACAAGTGTTGTGTACGAAATGAAAAAGTACATTTGAAGGTAATATTGTTCTTTATCAAGACCCATCTTGTTTGTTCATATCCAACCAAAGTTAAAACTAACGACCTGTCAGACTGCCAGCACAGAAGTCGTATTTTTAACAGACAGAAAATAGAACTGTACACTTTAATAAACTTCCATGGTCACTAATATAAATATCTACTTAGTACAATCATATAAAAACTAACAACAAAACTTTGAAACGTAACTCCTGATTTATGTTTTCATGTATATTTGGAATATATTATGGTTTCATGTAAAGCTGTGATAAAATTTTACTAACTACCATACCTCATTATTTAGTGCTTTCAGACAGCCAACCTAGAACCTGTACGTATGTACAGGTTGTAAAGATTAATCTTTAAGACGCTAAGCAAAATCAGTGGTGTTGGATCAATGGCTTCGACTTTTAAGAATTAACACAGTTTACAACAAATCAACATTGCACCAATAAGTCAAAAATCAAATGATTATTAATTAGTATTCCATATCTTAAGATACATAAACAACTCCAGAAACCGCGTCAAAATTTCATAAAACAACCAGTATATTTGGCAATATTTACCCGCTAATTTGATATTCATTTCTGAATCTAGCAATATGTTTTCAGCTTTTAGATCTCGATGTACAATACCACAAGAGTGGGTGTAATCGACAGCCGAAAGTACATCCAGAAATTTGATCCGAGCATCAGCCTCAGAAAATCTTCCATTCGTGGCTATGTAGTCTAAAAAAAACGCAATATTCAGACTGAAAATAAGATGAACATGCAAATCGGAGCTATTGATGACAGTAGACTATCTACTGATAACTAAAACTTCTGAGTGAATTATCGCTACCTCACCGGCTACAATCACATATAGCCATATAGCCTAACAACAAGTAGCTAAGGACGATCAACATAGAGAAAGTGTATAACTATTATGATAAACAAAATCTACACAAGAGTATTTAGTAACAAAGCAAGTGTATGGCTTTTATTTGCGGCAAAACAATGAACTCAATAGCACCATCAGTATTAACATATTTGTTCAAGCCATGTATAGAAGTGAGGGTTAGACATAATTAAATCATTATTCCTCTTCCATCGTGCAGGAGCATAAACCGCTCACCAGCATTCTCCACACAGCTCCGTCCTCGACAATCTTATCCAGTTGTTCCCACTTGCTATTCATCCTTCTTCGGCCTTCCCAATTTCCGTTTTCCTTCACCATTCCAAGTTAGCGCTTGCTTCGTGATGCAGTTTGGTGATTTCCACAATGTATGTAATATCCACTCCCAGAGTCTTTCCCTCATTTCCTCTTCAGATGAAGGCTGGTTTGTTCTCTCCCACAGTAGGCTGTTGCTGACGATATCCGACCAACGGATATTGAGTATCTCACGTAGACAACTGTTTATAAATACTTGTACCATTTTGGTGTTGGTTGTAATAGTTCTCGAAGTTTCAGCTCCGTACAGTAAAACTGTATTGACGTTCGTATTGAAGATTGTCACTTTGATATTGGTTAAGAGACAGTTGTTTTGAGTTTCATATGTTGTAGAATTATAGGAATGTTGCCCTTGCTTTGACAATCCTGGTACCGATAGTAGTGTTATGCATCGGTAGTTTTCACATTTGCTCAGATCTCCTTTCTTTGGTATCTTGGTGAGGTGTTCTTCTTTCCAGTCTGTCTGTGGCACTTGTCCCTCCTCTGTCAGGTCGCACTGCTCTCCCACTCTTGATTTGTCTGATGGTCACAACTGATTTCTCCGACCGTTGGTGGAGTGACATCTATGGGAAGGTCTGTGTGTGTTGCTTCGATGTCCAGTGAATTCAATGGAGCTGGCCTATTCATGAGTTTCTCAAAGTGTTCTACCCATCTGTTCCTCTGTTCTCGAATCTCAGTGATTGTCTTGCCTTCTTTGTCCTCGACCAATCTGTCTGGTTTACTATAATTGCCCACCAGTTTCTTCGTCGTGTCATATAGTTGTCTTATATTTCCTTCTGTTGGAGCTTTTTCCACCGTCGTTGCTAGCTGTTCCACATATTTCTGCTTGTCAGCTCTAATGCTCTTCTTCACTTGCTTGTTTGCTTCGGTGTATTCAGTTTGTGCCTTGGATCTCTCTGTTCTTGTTCGATTGTCGTTAACTTCTGCCCTCGTGTTCTTCCTTTCGTGAATCCAAAACAGGGTTTCCGTAGAGACGCACTCCTTCTTGGTGATGCTCCTTGCGACCCAGAACCTCCTGACACGTCGAAGTTAGTGTTTCCCTGATCCATTTCCAGTTGTTCCCCATAGTAGCTTCTTCTTCTTCTTCTTTGAGTAGATCCTGTAAGACTTGGAACCTGTTGTTGAGTGCTATGTTGAATTGGTTGAGTTTGTCAGTATGTGGAAGGAAGTATGTATTAAACCTTTGTAATGCTGTTTTCCCAGTTGTCCATTGCTTCTTTAGCTTCAGTTTGATCTTGGCCACAACCAGGTGGTGATCTGAAGCAATGTCAGTTTGTTTGCTGGTTCTCACGTCTTCCATTGGCCTACTGAATTTTTAGTGATGAAAATACGATTTATCTGTAGATGAGGGTTAAAGCATGTGAGATACTTGTAATCTATGATTGGTGATTGTATCAAATTACTTGAACTAACATCTATTTCTGTGACGCCCCAAGTTGCTATTGCTCGTTATTTCTTATACTTATACTCCAAACTAAGTTGTTTATAACCTTTTACTAGATGTGGCATTTTATCAACTCTAGGTTTTACGACTGAGATATCGCACTCCAAGTTAACTGTTTTCAGTCTACACAACGCCTTTTCGCTTTGCTAGAAACACTTTAATGTGGACAGCTTGTGGAACATATTTCTTGACACAATGTGGCTGAAAGCTAAGCATACCAAACTGTATGTGGGAGATGATTTAAAAGGCAGTTAGTCATCGCAATGAATTTCGGAAGAAATCGAATGATTAAAATCTACCTGATAGGACCTTACACTTGATTATTTCCATTCAATAAACCAAATGAAATACGAAATCTAAAATAGTAAGACAATGAGACGCCATAATAAGTAGTCTCTGCTTTCTATTTTGTCATTTGATCTTAAACCACACAGTCAGAAAATTAGATTCTAACCAAACCTATTTGCGACGTTATATCATATCGAATGCAACCAAACTACTAGGGCTATGCGCACTAAAATAATGATGTCTCAAGCAGTTATGTGGTTTCCAGCATTTTATTCACACTAATTTTTAAATATCCCGGAAGCGTCTTAGTTACCAACAATAAGTTTGTCTTATTACTTGGCACCCAGTAAGCATAAGTGAGCTGACCAAAATGTTTGCAACCTTATCCATTAGAATTTTTATCATCAGGAAGATGAACAATGGTTTGGGTGAAACAATTTTCATGACATGTGACCGCCAATTAGAGGGCAGTGACTTATCGATCGGACCAAGGGCGCATAAAACACGTGAGAGCAGCCTAGAGTCCTGCTTTCCGCCTAGCCCAGCCAGTTAAGTCCAGAACACCAGTCTCAGCCTCTGTAATATGAATCATATTTTAAACATACTGAGTTCAGATACCAGTCAAACAGACCACAACGTACCAATAATTAGCCAGATGTGGCTGTGAATGAGGGAGGTAGTAATTAATATACTGGGTATAACTCAAAAACGGTAAAACGTATAATAATAGTTTATGGGTCAAAATAAAGCTTATAATAAGAGGAATATGAATATGCATAGTTTAGTTACTTAATAATTATACAATAGAAATATACGTTTAGTATTGGTCCATCAATAGGTGCCAAAAGTTACCATTCATTATTCCTGTCGGGACATAACAATACTATGAAGTACACATATGTTAACGAATATTAATACCAGTGGTTAAATAATTACCTTTCTCAGTTTTCTAGTGAGATTTATAGAACTTATTTGTCACCTAGCATTTAATTACTGATAAACACAGACCATTGACATGGAAACACTGAAATGACTATCATAATTACAAAGTTTAAAAGCATGACAAGGAGTTGAGATGTACAAAGGGACTTACCAAATAGCTCGCCATTTGAAACATACTCCATTACCATACAGAGTAGTCGCTGAGTTTCCATAACCTGGAACTTATCACTACAAAGAATGTGTTTACCTGGTAAAGTTTTACGATATTTGAATGATGAAGCTCCTTTAAAATATCAGATTCCCTGTATATTTTTTTGAGATTTTCAGGACTTAGACGGGATTTGTCAATGATTTTTATTGCAACCTACGGAGTCAAAAGAGAGGGAACTAACATAAATTACGAATATTCCAGTTATGGTGTGCTTGGCGAGCTTGACTGACGAGAATATCCCTTTCCCAATGGTTCTTTCAATAACATACGTACCCAACTTCGGTTTTGACGTATCTTGATGTTGATCAGGGAAGTTGGTAGTTGAGGTACTACCTATGCTTGGAGCCAGCTCAGCGATGTCCAATTCCATATTATGACGGTTAGTAACTTCCCTCGTACTACAACCAGGTGCACCACACACACAAAAGTTCCCCGAATCTTTATCCTGACAATAATCAGGTGATGTTTCGGATGCTAGAGAACACTCAGTAGTACAGGAATGTCCATCAGTCACTCCATCTAGGCCAATACGACCATGTTTGCATGCGTTCATTTCCCTTGCAGATGACTTAGCATTGAAATGTGTGCATAGAAATTATAATCCGAGGTAACCGAAATAGGAACAATCATCTGGTTCCTCTAACCCATAAATTTGTGGAATAGAGACCAAAAAACGCAGAGTATGCAGCCGATGTACGGCAGCAGTTAAAGATTAATGGAACAAAGATCAATTAGTACCTGACAGAATGGTTAGGAAGATAAAGCGTACAATATCTCGAACAGACAATAAAGAATTAACGCCAAGATAGAATTTAAAATGAGTGGTCCAGTTCAACAGTAAACGAAGACGAAATAACCATAATAATAGTCAGTAACATATGTTACTGACTACACGTTGCAAAACAACAGCCGAGACGATCCAGAAAAATGATTGTTAAAAATAATGATATTCCGGAAAATTAATAACTAACAGAGCCATATGACAGAAATAATAGACATTAATTTGGGATCCAAGTGACAATACCCAACAGTGAATCTGCACCCCAACACTAGACTCGAAGAAGCCGCCAGATCTTTGAGATTTAGAGCACAAATTTCATTGCATGATTTAAACAAACATGAAAGACTTCTGTGATGAGCCATGTGTCCAGATAGTTTGATGTATCTGGATGATTACTGCATATTAAAGTGTAATTTTCGCCAGTGACTCCAAACCATGTGTTTGAATAATTCTCAGTCGTGTGTTATGGAGATGTCACTGTAGCGTAACCCATTATGGAAAACAAAAATAATATATTTATCGAACTATGGGACCCTAAAATCATATACTTAACAACTAAAACAGTCCTGTATTCAGGATTTGTTTGTCGTACAGAAATTAACCTAAAGTGCTACATATAATATATTGTTTAGACATTAAAAACGTAAAGAACAACTTCAGACGACAAAAACGAAACCATAAGGCTGCCTTGAAAGCATTTTTATATAGTTCATTGTATTTTTCTTGAGTAGGTAAGCGGAATGCGGTCTATGAAAACTATTTTTATAGGGCGACAACAGTGCAGAGGTCAATTAATCCCAGAAATAAATAATTTTGCAATTCTTTTGCTTTGACTCTGTTTTAGATAGTTTTATTAAACATCTCCAACTAAATACGTTCGATCAAGTATCCGCCTCAGACCATTTTTAGGTATGCTATTTTGAAGATCTTTTCTGATATGTCTGATTAAGTTGCATGCGCTTAGACACCAACGTTATTCATATATATATCTTTTCATCTCTATGTTTTCGACTTCTGGACCCCCTGGTTTTACAAATCATTGCAAGAGAGGAATTACTGTACGACACTTTTCTGAAACGCCATACACTTGTAGTGACTCACATTTACCACGAGAACACGACTGGTTTAATAAAAACAATTATTATTATAACCAACTGTACCAGTGTTTGTTTTAATGTGCTTTTGTTTAACTGTGCTAATTGTAGCCATTTTGTGCTTCCATTACCTTCCATTATTGTTCCGCGGTTTTTGGTACTGTTCGCACGTACTCCTGTCTTCTGCTTTCGCTTGTACCTCTTCTTGGCACGATCTCGGTATTCGTTCAATACCACGAGATCGCCAACGAAATAAATCTGGTTACATTCAACTCTCGCCTTCTGATTTATCTGGCACGTGTTTCCTGGTAGCGGTGTTCACAGTTAATCTCAACTCGACGCCACGCTACAATTGGTAATCCCAATTCGAATACCATTGGTGACCCGTATTTTGGAACACGCCTCAACTTCTGATCAAATCTTCCAAGGAAGCCAATTCGGTGAGTCTATGATTTATCTATCCACGTCTGTCGTATATTTTCATATTTTTTATATATAATATACGCGACATGACGGATAACGATAAGAATAGTATTAATATAATAGACTCACACGTATGTGTACCGAATCCTTGTCACTTTTTATTCGCGTGATGATGAATTCCACGCTTTATTCGAGAAATGTTACCCTATTAACGATTCTCCTCGCTGACCCGGCTGCTTGGTACGGAATGCATACGCATAAGCATATCCGTCTACCACCCAGCACCAAATGGTTAAGTTGAACGGTTTCACTGCCAACTTAAAAGTGTTCTACGAGCACACGAAAACGGCAACTGGCACGAAACCTTACCGCTCGTTCTTTTAGGGGTGAGAACGAGCTTAAAGGCAGATATCCAATGTTCCGCCACTGAACTTGTATACGGCACGACATTGCGTCTGCCCGGAGAATTCTTCACACCACGGAGCAGACCTAATTTCGGTAAATTAGACTACGTCCATCGACTGTCTGCATTTATGCGAACGCTGTCTCCGGTGTCAACTCGAATACAACATCGACAGGTCGCTCTCCCTCGAGAGTTATCTACCTGTTCACATGTTTTTGTACGAGTAGATTCGGTACGCAAACCTTGGCAACAACCTTACGAAGGCCCTTTTCACGTGATCGCTCGTCACGAAAAGACCTTCAAGGTTGATCGATATGGACGCGTCGAGATCGTCAGCATTGATCGTCTCAAACCAGCACACGTCGATGACAGTGCCCTATCTGACAACCTGAGATTCAATGCTAGACCTATCGAACCTACTAGCGGGATCCTCAAATCATCTTCAGGTCCCACGCTAGATACATCTGAGACCTCATTCTCACGTCCCAGTCAACAGCACGCGTCATCTGCACCGTCTACGGACGAGACGACAGTCTCACGTCCAGATCAGCAGACCACGCCGCCCTTGACTTCGGATGAGATTGCAGGCTCACGCGACGCGAACGAGACTGCCGTCTCACGTTCCGGTCGCCGAGTACGGTTACCCGTACGCTTCCGCGAATAGTCGCACAGTCAACTACCGATACGGTGTAGGATTATTCCTATACTACACGTATGCTACACTCTTCTTTTTTGATTTTCTTTTTGTTTCCTGAGCCCACGCCTTCGACCATCTCCGTTTGGTTCCGTCGACTTCAGTCAACTTTGGCGAAAGCTGGCCTGATCACCCATGCTCTTGTCAACGCACTCAGTCGATATATTGGTTTCGAATGCTTGGCACACGCTTGGTCACGAACTTGGTCGTAACGGTCGCTTCTGGTCTTTTGGCTCAACGTGGTTTCGTCCTACGTCTGCAGCGTTTCTGGTGCGCACCTCTACGAACGCCCTCTTCAGATTCTGGATACAAACCACTCTGGTGTAGCATGCCAATTCGAGCAATAAATACAACACATCGCTCCTGGTACCGTTCTCCGAAAACGACCTTCGTTGGCAACTCGACGATCAACGATCGCTTTCCTGTTCGCCAATTCTTCCGTCCTACAATCGCTCGTCAGCCGATCAGTCCCACGATTCAAACCGCTATTTATCGAAAGTGTTAACCCTTTCTAGCGGGGGGCTCCTGTAGTGACTCACATTTATCACGAGAACACGACTGGTTTAATAAAAACAATTATTATTATAACCAACTGTACCAGTGTTTGTTTTAATGTGCTTTTGTTTAACTGTGCTAATTGTAGCCATTTTGTGCTTCCATTACCTTCCATTATTGTTCCGCGGTTTTTGGTACTGTTCGCACGTACTCCTGTCTTCTGCTTTCGCTTGTACCTCTTCTTGGCACGATCTCGGTATTCGTTCAATACCACGAGATCGCCAACGAAATAAATCTGGTTACATTCAACTCTCGCCTTCTGATTTATCTGGCACGTGTTTCCTGGTAGCGGTGTTCACAGTTAATCTCAACTCGACGCCACGCTACACACTCAACACCATCGTTGGTAAGTTCCGCAAGATACAGCACACCAAACGCTACGCCTCAAACTTGTTCTTCCTTTTAATGTTTTACATATATTTTCATAGATTGTGACATAATCCAGTGTTTTAGACCTACTTCCTCGCATATTTACAGATTTCATTATTTTTCATTATATCCAAACACATTCATAGTTTTAAGAAAAAAATAAACCGAAACCTCCAGCCTGCACTAAAGTCATTCTGGACGAATAACATCAAAGTTTTGTTTTGCTGTCCAGAAGCTAACCCTCAGAAGTGCGGCGTGTGTAGTTTCTATTTTCTGCTAAGCCAATACCACACGAGTTCGGTGAAAATCGTCCTCTTATACCTAGTCCTTATACACTAAATCAAAGGAATAGTGCTCGAAAATGTTATATATTGGAATTCTTTTGAAAACTGGAATTAGGATAGCCTCACACCAAGGGGGTTATTCCTCAACACAACAGCAAGTTCGGAAGACGTTGTCAGGGGTTCAGCCAGTAGTTCCACATAAACATTCTTGAAGATAGTAAATTTTCATAGGATCATATATATCACTCTAAATGTTGAATTAATGACAGAAATGGAAACTGATACGTAAGGTTACCCTGTTATATGCTAGTGAGCTCCACAAAACAGCCTCAAAGCAAGATTTCTTTGCTTTTTTTTGGAAATATCACTGATATAATTATGAAGGACTGCTATTTCGTTTATTACGTAATCAAAAGTCGTTCCCTCAAATTTCACCAGCTGTTGAAAATGGCACATTTACATGAGAATGCTTATTCTTAAACCGATGTGTTGTAACGTGTGGATTGCAGATTATGGAGCAGCGTATTTATCCATCGATTCAGTGACACGTAAAACACGTACGGACGACTTGGAGTCTCAATTGGCCCTGCTTCGCTGTCTGACCCAGCCAGTCGAGTCCAGAACACAAGTCACAGCCTCTGAGATATGAATCGTTGTATTTCAAACATACTCTGTTTATATACCAACCAAACAGACCACATCGTACCACAAAAATAGAAAACAACATCTGTACAATATTTAACGAGTGAAATAAATAATGGCCAATAGGGAATGTCCATTTAAGGTCCAAGGACATCATTAGACTTAACATGATAATGATTGATATATTCCTCTGCATCACTAACACTATGGACTCGGATTTAGTAATTCTGTAAGTTCCACAGTACGTCAGCAACATGTGTTAACGAAGTGGTTGTATCAGAATTGTAGGTTTTATTTCTTTGTATAGG